AGAGGGAGAGAAACATCAATATATGGTTGCTCTTGTGCACCCACTACTGGGGACCTGGCCCACAACCCAGGCATATGCTCTAGACTGGGAATCAAACCGGTGACCAGCAAAGAGTCCATATTACCCCACTTCACCTCCTTGGAGTCAGGGTACACGTGTTGGGGGTCCCCAACCTCACATCCATGTTCCCCCAAATCCTCCACACAAGACATACTCACACAAGGAAAACCACCACACAGCCCACAGTGCTTCACTGTCCACTGTAAGCGGGGCAGTGAGCTGGAGTTGTGTTTGCTCAGATGTGTTCTTTTGATCTGTGAGATCTGGATAAGAGCTGTAAATCTTGTATCAACAGAAGCCCTAAATTACTTAGTAAGACAGCATTCATTTTTATATAAAGACTTTAAAGAAGAGGAATGGAGGAAGGAACTTTCCTGAGGCTGGTAAAGAGCCTTTACTTCTAATGCACAGCCCACAATGCAATGAAGGAGCATCCCATTATTCTTGCCTTCATACACCTCACTGCATTTATGGAGTGCATATGCCAGCCACTCAAGTACACTACCAGGTACTTGGGTCATAAAGACAAAACGTCACAGCCCTGAAGGACCTCAACAGATGTGGTGGGACCATCCCTGCATCCAGCACAGTGCCTGATACACGGCAGGCCAGATGAAGTAATGAGGTCCGTAGCCCTGGCCAGGTAGCTCAGTTGGTTATAGCATAGTCCCAATATGCCAAGGTTGCAGGTTTGATATCTTGTCAGGGCACATACAAGAAGAAACCAATGAATGTACAAGTAAGTGGAACAACAAATCGACCTCTCTCTCTGTAAAATAAATTTTAAAAAAAAGAAGAAGAAGAAATGAGGTCTACTCCAGAATGGTGAGTTGCAGGTGGAGGATGTCCATGGTCACAGGCTGAGTCTTCGCTGGGGAGTCTGGGATGAGGCGTGACACATGTGCACATTCTCACCCCAAAGCCTGGTGGCCTTGGCCTTGGCGAGCTACACACCCCTCATGGGAAAAACTGTTTGATAGGGCATGTTTCAGGTGGGCGGTGTTTTTGCATTGCAGAGAGGGAAGCAGGTGAGATCCGGGGACTGACATTTGGGGTTCCAATAGGGCATCACCACTAACCACTTTCTGTTTCTGAGAAAGCTTGCGTGTCTGTTGTTCCTGTTCCTGAGTATTATTGGTTTCTGTTTGGGAGGAGTCATCTGTGGTCAGTCTTGAAGGCCGCAGGTGTGTTCTGCACAGAGAAGGGGAAGAAAATGATGGGCGACAGAGCCCTGAGTGGGGAGAGCACTTCCACCCTTTCCAGATCTACAAGACATGACCTCCTCTGACCTCAGAGCCAGGCTCCGGGTCTTCCCAGTGCTGCCTCCAGATTTCCAGTGATGCTGCCAACAAGCTCCTTGCCCTGATCCCAAACCAGTTTTCCAGATTCCCAGAACCCTTCTTGTCACCAGAGTCTCACCAACTCCTGCTGTGGTATTATACACTCATCATGAACCCAGAGAACACTATGGACCTATACTTCCATTCAGTGTTCAACGGTGGCTGAGATGAGTTTCGTGTACACAATTGGCACACTCTGAAGTGTGATAAGAAAGGCAGGTGCTTTATGGGACAAGAACAGGGTCTGGGGTCTAAAATCCAGAAATCTCAGCCCTACACTTACCGGCTGATAGGGCTGGCAGTTGACATGAGGTTGCAATAGAACCCACCTTGGGCAAATCATTTAACCTCTCTAAGCCCAGTTTCCTCAAAAGGAAATGGAGACAATTCTTGCTTTTCCTATCTTACAAAGTTGTGAAGTTTAAATAAGAGTAAAAGAGATATGCAAAAACAGGCTGTAAACTGTAAGGAGCTGCAGAGTTAATTATGACATCAGGACGGGGGGGAAAGCGGGTCCTAAGGAGGTCTTTAACCCCTAGGCCTCTTAGGAGAGCCATCCTTGCTCAAGCTAGGAAGGCATTTCCAGGTCCTCAGGGAGAGCTGCATGTGAATAGCAGATCTAGGTGAAAGAAAAGGAAGAAGTAATTCCAGCAATGCATTGTGTAGAGGAGGGGTGATTTATGCTGCCGGATAGACTTCTGTCTTCATTCCTCTGACTAGCTGGCGACCTTGGGCATGTAGTTTAACCTCTGAAACTCAGTGTTTTTGTGAGAGTAGGACTATTCAAACTCCAGGGAAGTTGAAAAGAGTAATATGAACCCAGTTGGGAAACCCTGCCCTGCAAGGTTTCTCAGTCCTACTCCAGGGAGCAGTGACACCCCAAACTCCAATTTCTATTGTCGCTAAACTGAGCAAGTGTGAGCAAACCATGTTGGATGAGCAGCTGGCGTGGAAAAGGAAGATTTTTGCCCAGATGTTCATGGCTTTGAGACAGGATACGGTGAGATCAACACTCCTGCTCACTGGGTGAAATCAATACCTTTCTGTCAAGACTAATCGATTTCCCAAACTGTTTTTTTTTTTACTTCTCTTGGAGCTATCACGTACAGCAAGGTAAGCAAGAAGATTTTGGGGAGCTCTCCAATTCCCAATCCTGAGAAGTTGTCAAGTGGAAAAGCTCAGGATGTAACACATTAGTTTGAATGTCAAAGGAGACAACAGTCAAAAACACACTTGCAAATAACAGTACTTAAAAAAAACACCTGCTAGAGACTATATACTTATCCAAAAAGCTTAGGATGCTCCTTTAATATTTTATTTTTATTGGATTTATTGGGATGACATTGGTTAATAAAATTATATAGGTTTCAGAGGTACAATTCTATAATCTATCATCTGTATATCATATTATGTGTCCACTACCCCAAGGTCCTTCAGTATTTTATTAAATATTTCACACCAATTCTCAGGGGGAGCAGGAAACAGACATCTATATTTCTACTTTAAACGTGGAGAGAATGGAGTTATTTAAATAACGGTAGACAGTGGGGTTGTCAGGGGGTAACTATGTCCTGATATTGAGTGAACTCAAGTGCTAAGTTCTATCCACCAAGCTACTGTGTGCAGATGTGAGGATGAAAGAAGAAAGCCAATGGAGAAGAGAAACCTGCCCCAGGAAAATGCACAATTCCAAGGTCCCTTTTAGAGGGTTCTCCTGACATATCGATAGCACTAAATTCTAGCCTATCCTTCATCATGCTGACTCTGCTCTAAGAGGAGCTGGAGGAGGGCACCCTCCACTGTGCCTCTAAGGAAACAGTGAACCTGGCTCAACGTACATCATCAAATATCGGTGAAGGAAGAACATGGACAGGAAGGAATGCATTGTACTGCCACCAAATTCAGCCTCAGCCATTATATTATGCTTCCTTCCTAAAACAAATGGGAACTCTTTTTCTAAGTCTGTTTCATGTCCTTTTCAAACATGGCTGCAGCTTCCAGAATCATTCCTGGCTGGGTAACAGCACTCAAGCTTTCTGTCTGGTTCTTGTAGATTCATCTTAGCTTTGGATCAAATAATCAAATTGCCATTTAATCTCCTGACTTGTGTAGGCTTTCCCTGTCAAGGCAGCAGACCTTGAGGAATCAGAGTTTAGGTGAGATCAGGTTTTTACTTTGGGAATGAGTAGAAGGGGGGAAACTACAGTCATTCAACATGTATGGGATGCCTGTTACATGCAAAGGCTATGATGAGAACATCACATATTCTGCCTAAATGTTCCCAACGATGTTTGTGGTGTGGGCTGCTTCATCTCCATGTATGAGATATAGAAGCAGAGGCCTGGAACTTTAAGGGCCTTCTCTAAGATCCCAAAGCTAGAAAAGTATTTAGCCAAAATTTTTGTTTGAATCCATATACTTTGTGGCTTTCCTGGCTAATTTTCAATGCCCAGAGGCTACCTCTGAATACAGGGAGGAGCTACCCTGAGGCTGTGGCACAGACCTAGTCTGCTTGGGGTCCACCAGCAATTTGACAAGTATCTTTGTCATAAGCAATGAGTGAATAGGGAGTTTATCAAAGAGCTCAGGTTCAGTCTCACATGGCTGGATTCAAATCCTAGCTCCACCAGTTACAAACATATATAAAACACAGGATCTCTCCAGGCTTCTATTTCTTCATTTGTAAGATGGTGATTTTACTACCTCGCAGAGTTGTTGTGAGGGTTAAATGTGGAATATAAAGCACTTGTCACATAACATACACTCAATACAAACAAGTTAGCTGTTACTAATAATGAAGTGCTCCTGTCCTTTTCCTAGCCCATAACGTCCTCACTGGGCTGACAATTCATCCGAGATTCTGTTTCTGCACCACCGATCCTATGGTGCTGGAGATCCAGACCAATGGACAGAGGGGGAAGGTGCAGAAGTCCGGATCACGTACCATTTTCTTTTTCAGTATTTCAGCCTTTCTCTCCGCCCTCAGCCCGGCCAGCGCCTACCTGTACATAGTCGCGAAGCTGGTGCTCTGCGGCTCAGGAGAGGCCGTGACCCTCCGACAGCCGGCACCCGCGGCCTGTGAAGCTGAGGTAGTGTACAGTCCGTCGCCATGGTGACCAGGCCCCAGCAGCCCAATGGCGCGGGCGGGGTCAGGGTTATGTCACGCCCTAGAGTCCCGTGCTGGAGGCTGGGACAAAGTAGCAAAAGTAGACTCGGACCTGGGAGCGGGGTACCCTCCTAATCAATCACTACAGCAGATCTGACCCTAGCTAGCAGAACCGAAGCAGGGGGCTAAACAGAGGGAGCGAGCTAAACTTAGGGGCCCGAGCCGCGTTGCTAGCGGGAATGGTAGTTTTCAGAGTCCCAAAGTTTCGGCTGAACAGAGTTATGGCCGAGCAGGTTTGTACTACATCTCCCAAAGTTCCTCACCAGCCCTAGTTGATCCGCCTCTGTAGCGCTCTGCATTGTGGGATGTAGAGTTCGAAATGCGGCGAGGCGTGGCCGCGTCCAAAGCGAGGCGCCGGACTCGGACTCCGTTTCCCTGCGGCCCCGGTAGGACTCCGGATCATTGGCTGAGCGGGACGGATCTGGTCCTGCTCCTCCCCGCTCCCAGTGACACAATAGCAGCTCCCTCCAAGATGGCGGCAGCGACGGCGGACCCGGGAGCTGGGAGCCCGCAGGCTGGAGACTCCTCCGGCGGGGCCGCTGGGGGCGGGCTGCCGTCCCCAGGGGAGCAGGAGCTCAGCCGGCGCTTGCAGCGCCTGTACCCCGCGGTCAACCAGCACGAGACGCCGCTGCCGCGCTCCTGGAGCCCCAAGGACAAGTATAACTACATCGGCCTCTCCCAGGGCAACCTCCGCGTCCACTACAAAGGTATTGGCCTCTTTGCCGCGGGGAGGGAAAGGCCAGAGACTCTGTGGGGAGGCTGTGCTGTCCATCCCCTACCCCATCACGCCCCTTCCCCACCTCTGTGCTCCGAGTTAGGCCTTAGCCCTTGCGGGTGTCGGGGTGGTGGGACTGACCAGGCCGAGGGTCGAGTACCTCGTCTGCTGGTCTTAGAGGGATCTAATGTCAAGAGAACGGCAACAGGTGCCCAGACCCAGTGCTGGGTTGGACCTTCCACCCGAGGGCCTTTCTGCTTGTCCTGGGATGGCTCTAACTCCATCTGGGCCCTTCTTCACCATTGCTTAGTTTCAGCAGTGTCTGAAGAAAGGGGTGGTTATATCATCGCCAATAGCCAGAGGCCTAGGGGCTTGCTCACATGCCAGACTCACAGACTGCTCCTAGGGTTCTGTGCTAAAGTTTGCGGGGGTGTCTTCCAGGGCTGCTTCTTCCTCCCCTGGTCTCCCAGGTGGGCTGCCTGTATTCTGGAGAGACGACTGCTAACAGCAGCGGGAAATCTCTCTCTTGCATCCACATTGCCTATACCCTTCTTTGGTTTATATGCGACTAGGGTCTCAGGCAAGGCTGCTATTCTCAGGAGGAGGTGAGCCAAAGGTGGGAGGTCCATGCGTTTGCTCAACTGTTGTCTAATTATTCCTTAGACTATGTAAGGGCTTCCTCTGGCCATGGAGTGGTGAAGTTGCCATGGAGCAGAGAAGAATGAGGTCCCCATTTGCATTTCCTTGTGCTGAAATTTATTCCTTGCCCTCTCCAATTAGGTCATGGCAAAAATCACAAAGATGCGGCCTCAGTGCGTGCTACCCACCCCATACCTGCTGCTTGTGGCATTTATTACTTTGAGGTGAAGATTGTCAGCAAAGGAAGAGATGGGTAAGCCCCTCCTTGCCACCTTCTTTCCCCCAACACCAAGCTATTCCCCATGGTCAGGATTCGAGGTCTCCTGGCTGACACTTGGGAGTGTGGTGAGCTGCTGAGCAACACGGGCTTGGGCTGCAGAGGGTTGAATAGTGGGCCACCTCTGTCACCTGACTGTGGGCATGGCCTGGTCTAAGTAAGGATCAGCTCTTGATGGCAAGTAGGTGCATTGCAGGGCAGAGGAGGGGATTTCTCTTTAGTGATATTGTAATGTGATACCTTACAGGTCAGGGAGACAAATAACAAGTTTACATTAACAATTCAGCATCCAGCGTGGGGTTCCCCCCACTGAAGTGTGGTGTTATGACTTCCCTCCTTTCACGCCCTTGCTGTTTTTAAGGTTCTCTTTTTATGGCATGTGATCACAAAGAGGCCCTGGTAGCCTTCAAAGGGATAGTAGAGTGTCCACAGCATTCATCACGGCTGTGGCAGCTACTGGCCTGTCATTTCCAGGTAAACAGCAGGCACAGGGTCAGAGTCAGGTGACTTTACACTGCATATAAACTTGTTTTTCTAGGGACTCGAACACCAGTTGGACCAGCTTTAGGAAGGCTCTCACTGAAGTCAGCACTAGGGAGGCTCCCTATTTTAGGGTGATCTAAGAAGACAAGAAATCGGAGGGAAGATTTTTCATTCTTCTTCCTTCTCCCAGTCTCCCTTTTTTCCAGTGATTGTGACAAAGCAGGTGTTGCAGTTATGAAAGAGCATGATTGCAACTGTCTTCTAAAGGCTTTCCTCCTAGGTCTGATGTAGGAAGTTTGCCACCTGTCCCCCCACCACCACCGTGACCTTCATGCCAGCCCTGATTGTGTGTTCTTAAACATTCATAGTACTTTCTCTCTCCCAGGAACTGTCCCCTTGTGGAGCCAGGGGGCTATAATGGGGGCAGGACTACTGGCGTCAGAGCTTTGCCTGCTTTCTCAGTGACGCTGTAACATCCCTGTTTGTGATTGAGGGTGGACTGTGGGGCTTTCCTCTTCTGTGCTGTGGGGAGCTAGGCCTGCGTGTGCGCTGCTTTTAATCCCAGAATTCTGTGATTCTGAATTGCGAACATGGCGGGCTACTGTATTTTTTACTTTTATCTCCATCTAGTGTGTTTATAGATAGGAAACGTATTGTATCATTGGGGAACTTTAAAACTTGTATTTTCCCTTTCTACCCTCTGATAAAAGCGTGGATTATTAATGTGTTTGAACTGTTGTGAATGAGAATGGCTTCTTGAAAGAAACACTGCAAAAATAGTTGCAATATAGACTGAAATGTTGGCTCTGGAGTCTCATGTGACCAAAGAAACCAAGGGGCATTTCTTAAACTTGTAGGAAGGAAAATGGATTGTTTTCTCTGTAATCCTTATCATAGAAAATAGTGGAGTTAGTGAGAGAAGAGAACAATTTTTCAGAGGGAGAATGTTTAAACGTGGAAACCTAGGTTCTTTCAATTGACTCTTAATATGTCTGTTATAAGTGGACCTTTGCTGGAAAGGTCCCGAGTCTTTGTTAGATTGCCTCACGGTAGATGTTGCCTGTAAAATTAAATAGAGTTGGACATCTTCTCCCAGGTTTTCGGTTCTCAGCATTTTTATATGCGGTAATTGTAGCCAATGAGCTGACCTGGAAACCTCAGTTTTTTTTTGTTTTTTTTTTTTAAATATTTTATTTATTTATTTATTTTCAGAGAGAGAGAGGAAGGGAAGGAGAAAGAGAAGGAGAGAAACATCAATGTATGGTTGCCTCTCATATGTCCCCCACTGGGAACGGGCCTGCAACCCAGGCATGTGCCCTGACTGGGAATCGAACCACGATAGCATGGGTCGCAGGCCCGCGCTCAATCCACTGAGCTACGCCAGCCAGGGCGAAACCTCAGTTTTAAAAAGGTCCCAGGTCATGTACGCCTTGGTAGCCTGCTTCGGTTGACCACTGTCAAATAGCAAGTATGTGACTATCCCATCATGGCCTTCTTGTGGCCAGGGTGTAGCCAGATGTTGGTATGGGCCAGTTGTGCTTTCAAGGAGACCAAGGGAAGTGTCAGGACAGCCCATTAATCAGCCTGTTTCCTGTTACCTGTCACCTGTCAGAGTTGGAGGTGTGTTTCTGACTCAGGTTTGGTGCATGACTCAGGTGTTAGCTGGTTGAGCAGCTTTTCTGTATCATCTAGTTGATACACACAGCGTCTCTGGAAAGTGTCTGGGGAAGATGATGATGGACCTATTTTGTGAGTGAGCCCTGGAGCCCCTGAGATGTTTGGTGACCTGCCCTGGCTGCAGGGCTGAGGGTGTACAGTAGAGTGGCCTCACTTGTCAGATGGCCTTGCCTGATCCCAGACATGTGTCTCCATGCTGCTACTGCCTTTCTTTATTGCATTCCTTCCTAGGGTAGAGTGATGGAATGTTCAGTTGGATTCTTAGGGGATCATGGTGTTCTTAGGGGACAGGAGTAAAAGGTGCTTAGTGCTGAGGGGGGCCAGACAAGTGTGGCGTGCTCTGGACTGGGTTTGATTGACTTATTATTTCATTGAATCTATAAATGTGTGGGTTTTTTTCCTTTTAAAATGTTTTATTCATTTCTTGAAAGATGAAGAGAGAGAGAAAGAGAGGGAGAGAAACATCACTGTGTGGTTGCCTCTTGCATGCCCCCTACTGGGGACCAGGCCCACAACCCAGGCGTGTGCCCTGACTGCTAATCGAACTGGCGACCCTTCAGCTCTCAGGCCAGCACTCAATCCTCTGAGTCACACCAGCTGGGGCTGTAAATGTGTTTTTCTGTAAATATGAGTATGGGCCTCTTTTGTAAAAGGTGTTTATGAACCCTGTTGTCAGCGTCATTGTTTTCCAGAAAGGTCTTTGTTCTGTGATACCTTTATAGAAAAACATGCTAAGTACACTAAGCTCATCTAATTAGAAAGGTTTCATTTTAAGTGTTCATGGAGTAGTTATTCATACCTACTGGGTGCCAGGCCCTGCTAGGTGCAGGGCGAACAAAGGCACAGTCAGAACAGGCCAGTCTTATCCTCAGAGCCTGTGGCCGACTCAGCAGAGAACGGACGGAAAGGCTCTCTGTAGGAGGAGGCAGAGCCTGAGCATGGTTTTGAGGGATGGGTATGAGTTTCCCAGCAGGCGAGAACTCTTGGACCTGAAATGAGAGTCGGGTCGGTAACTAGCTTGATGTCAGGTCGCTGGGTGCTCCCCAAACATAAGAGACAGTGGAGAAGAAGGGACTTACATTTGAGCTAAGAGTATGGCATGGCTGATGGGGTTCAGCTGCTTTTTGCCGAGTCACCAGAGCTGGGAACCCCAGGAGCAGGTCTGCTGGGGCGAGGAGACATCGGAGCCCTGCCAGTGGGGCCAGGAGATAAGGGCATCTGGGTTGGTCTTGTTAGGAAGCCAAGGAGGCCCTGAAGCAGAGGGTCGCTGGGGGAAATGACTTGCTCAGAGTTCGTGGACCTGTGGGTGTCCCTGGCAGTTTGTGATGACACATGGAGGGTGTGGCTGGCCAGGCTGACAGATGCTCCAGGGTGACCCTCAAAATAGACTGTAACATCATCCCAGCGGTGGCAGCCTTTTGACATGTGATGGGTGGCTCTACCCAAGAACAGCAAGCCTGGGCTGGAGCGCAGGGTGGAATTGTGGGGGTTCTCTGCAGTTGGCGCACAGGCCCTGAGCAGGGCCTCTGGCTACAGCCGCCACCTTTGCTTGCACTTGCAGGCTGACTTCCTTTGGCCAGGCAGCAGTGCGTACAACCATGAATTCTATACACCACAATGAGGCACCCATTGTTTTATCCAGTTCTAGTCCTGGGCCCAGGAGCACATGCATGAGATCTGTCTAGAGAGGAGGCAGGTATGCCTGTACTCGGACTCACAGAGTAGTGTAGAAAAGGCCAGTTATGGTGTGTACTACACCCAGGGGGGGACCCAGAGGTTGGACTTCCTCCTGTACCTAAGAGTTTGGGGAAAGCTTCACAGAAGAGATGATGATGCTAAATCTGAAAGGATGAGTTGGTTCCAGTGGACAAAATGAGAAGCAGATGCTCCAGGCAGAAGGAACAGTGCATGAACGACGTGGAACACAGAGCATGAGTAGGCAGGGGCCGGATCAGAAATACCCTGTGTGCTGTGGGCAAGGAGCATGCATGGGCTTTATCCTGAGGGCAGTAGCAGAGTATGAGGACTTCGGATCTGTTTACGCTTCTGAGAGTGGGTGGGGGAAAAGAGATTTCTCCGGTCTAGGTGGGCCAGACCCCTCAGGCTGAGAGCCCTGTCCAGTGTGGGCCAGTGGCTTTAGGTCCTCACCTCTGTGCCTGGTTTTCCGACAGCACTTGTCTTTTTTCTTTCTTGGCTGGTCTTTGTTTTGCGTGGTGAGATGCAGAGGTGGGATGTTGAAAACTGGTAGCTGGAGAGGCTTCTCAGAGGTGAAAGGACTCTGTATGTGCCAGTGTTCCTGGTATTTTGGTTTTGCCAGGACAACAGTGAAAGACAACACTATGATTTTCTGTGGAAACCCAGAGCGCCACTTGTTCAGTTAAGGTCTCACCCTCCACAGTTCTGGTGTAGAGAGCCACTGGAGCTCAGGTCCTCCTGTCGGTGTCGGCACCGTGCCCTGGGTCCCCCACTTTAATCTCGGTGCCTTGTGTAGTGCTGTTGAGAAGTGTGGCCCTCCTCTGCCGACTTGGGGGAGGCCTTGTCCTGACTGCCCTGGAAAGTAGGTGCTGTCCTTGCCCAAGGCAGGTACAGGTGGCAGTTGTGCCCTGTTCTCGTTGACTGCCCCCAACACTGATGGTGTCACGGGGAGATGCTGAGCTTTGGGTGGCATCTCTCCTTAGTAGCGCAGTGTGTTGTTATGGAGACATGGAGTATTTGGGCTCTGGGGCATCTCGGAGTGTTGCATTGCTGCTTCGTGTTGGGGGTTAACGCCCAGGTCTATTTGGCCGTAGGGTGAGAGGCCTGGAGTCCACATGGCG